TTTCTCAAAAAGGAATCAGTTTTCAGAATTGGTGCAATGGTAACTTTTAATCACGAAGGCCTAATCTACATTATATACAAAATTCAGCCAATTCTGACATAAACACAATCTCCGTATACTTTGGGCAGGTTCCTTTATTTTTACTCATGTGACCTAGACGCTGATGCCATATTTCATAGTTTGTTTTTACAGAACTAAATGTATGCAACAGATTAGGCAACGTAAAATCCATACACATCAAACTGTTCAAAAACTTACCCTGCATGACCACCATTCCGTATTTCAACACCTTTTTTTTTTTAAAGATTATTGTTAGACCAGCATTTTGCATTTTTGCCACTGATAGCAAATTGTAGGGGACATCTGGGTAGTGGAGGACATCTTCCAAAATTCCTTGAATCCCAACGTTACTCAAAACTTCCAGTGAGCCCTTCTTTGTCGCTGTTACATATTGTCTATTTTTCGCGACAGATATTTTATAGGTGAAAAATGAGCACTTAAGTCTGATCGATTAATAATGTGATCAGAGGCACTAGAATCCAAAATAAATGTAATTTTCTTTTTATTGTCTTTATAGAACTGTTGATTTCCAAGCATGAATGCAAAACCTTGACTCTCGTTTGCTTGTTGCTGCACAGTTTGGACAGTTCTTTGTCTTTGTGACTGTTTATATTCCTGTGCTTTCTTATAAAAGAAAAAGTCCTTTTTAAAGTGTCCAGGCCTTCCACAGTGATGACATTTGGCTGTGTTTGTTCTTTTCTTATTTTTAAACTTGTTATTTTGGGGAAATTTGCGGAACTTGTTTTGGAATTTCGAAGTGTGCGATGGCAATAGTTTAAACCGACGATTTTCATCCGACATGGAAGGTTGCTTGTCACTTAAGAATGCCTTTGTACTTGTATCTTTGTTTTCATTTGACAGTTTTACCTTGTGATCGAGTAAGCGTGTTTTAACGAAGAAGGCCAAAGTTAAATTATCCTCAGATAGGGTTTCAATGGCTGTTATTACACCATCATAGGAGTTCGAAAGTAAATGTGACACTTTGTCCGTTTCCTCTAGCTTAGCTCCTGATGCTAACAATTCGGCAATTAAATCATCAAATACTGTAAAGTGTTGAATCATTGTGGTATCACCCTGGAGCTTTAAACTTAAAAGTCTTTTTCGCAGTGCCAATTGAGATGCTACACTTTTTCGTTCGTATATTTTATCTAAATTTTGCAAAATTTCCTTAGCCGTAAATTCTTCTTTTGCAAAACCCAGAAATGAGTCTGACAGGTACTCCACTATGACACTTTTCGCAGTACGCTCTAGTTTTTGCCACTCCGCGGTAATAGGATCAGGAATTTCTTTGTCTATTACTTTTAGAGCATCAAGTTCGGATAAAATCGCTCTAATGCGAAATTTCCACACACCATACTTTCACCGTCAAACGATTTAATGTTCCTTTTCGCTCTTTTACTTTCCATTGTTATCAGCTAAATCACTTTGAACTTCAGTGTCTGGGCCCATAACCTGTTGGTTATGGGATAAAATAATACACAGTGGATTTGGCTTTTACTCGAAATTTTATATTTCGTTCTGCACAAAACTGCAATGCACTTTGAAGGCCTAAGCATAACTAACTAAACTTTATAATTTCAACCCTCAAAAAACATTCACAGTTTTTTTTTTCTTTTAATGTAAACATTCTTGCTTTTATATAAACACTTGTGCTTTTTATGTAAACATACCTATGTAAACAAACTTAATCAAAATAACAAAGAATATCGAATTAATTTTTAATATTCCAACACTTATATGGTTCTAAATATTCCAAAACGCTGTCAACACGATTTCGATTCTGGAAAAAACGCAAACGGTTGTGCAGATGTGCAGAATGATTCCGAACTAGTTCTAAGTGAAATTAGAACAAAGCGATAGAATCATTCCAGAACAGTTCCAAACTGCGTAGTATACAAACCAAGAGAGCGAACTGAAAATTGGGAATCTTTCACGGTTGACCTTGTTGCGCGATTCAAGCAAACAAAATGACGTCATTAACGAACATAGCGGACTGAAGTTAACGGAAGTCCAATGTAACGGAAGTTAAGAAAACCGTTATGTAAATTCTGTTTTTTTTTTTTAAAAGATAAAAGTCAAAATGACCTTATGTTGGCAATACAATGTAAAATTGTCAATGCTTTCAATTTTTTTAAATAGAAAAGGCTTGTGTTACCAACATACTAAATTTTTGACTTGGGAAATTATCTTTTGAAAAAAAAACAGACTATAATAATTTTTTAGGTTAAATAAAAAGTTAAATTTAAGCAATTTTTTCAACTTCGTTAATTAACTAATAATGGATTAACTGTTTTCTGCCCAGCTTTGTCGCTATGACGGTGGTCTCTTCAATCTTTCTAGATTCCGCTTGTTAACTAAAGTCAGCCTAGCTAGAATATTTTGCTAGAATATTTGAGATACTATTTGCGGATGCTGTTTGTTTGCTGTCGAGCTTAATTGGGGATCTCCAAGAGAGTATAACAAGACTCCATGGTGCTTGTATCAAATTTGGTCTTAGGATTATTTGTCAAAAAACCGAGATCATGCAGCAGAAAGTTTATAGTAATCCTCAGGGTAGGACTCTTAACATCCATAATGGCGAACCGCAAATTGCGCGAGGTCCAGGGTTTCAAGTATCTGTGTCGTCCACACAAGAATAGCTCAAGCATCCATATAATTTGGGAGCTCAAGCCAAAGACTATTTAAGTCGCACGACATCTCGGTAGAAACCAAGATCAAAGTCTACAAAGCTGCTATTATAGCAACTCTTCTCTATGGATCGGAAACATGGTGTTTCTAAGCATAAGATACAGAAACTGGACCAGTTTCATCTAAGATGTTTGAGATCATATATGAAAATAAAATGATTTCACTATCTAAGAAACAGCGAAGTGTTAAGGGCAAATCTACCGGGAATTAAGGTCCTATTAATACAAAGACAACTTCGATGGGTTGGACATATAACGCGTATGGATGACCAGAAACTTCCCGAACGGATCTTATACTTGGAACTTCTGTATGTTAGTGTGTTTTTATCTATTCCCAATCAACGTGGTTTTTCATTGATTAAGTGAGCACGCTCTTTTGTGTGTGTTGAGAGTTGTCTTCTGATTAGTCGATGGTTACTACGCAGTTAAGTATAAAAAAACAGGAAACTCGTTTTCCTGCAGGGATTTGCTTCTAAAATGGTCTCTTTTTTGGCAGTAGCCGAACAGGCAAGTCGATTTTCATTATTGTAATTTTTTCCTTCAGATTTCTAGATTTTCCGATAAATCTTATCTTATCTACCTTTAAAATATAAACATTGTATTATAATTTTTTTAAATTTAATTGTGTGCTTCCATTTTGTGATTGGTGGTCCCACGTTTTTCTGAGGTGAGTCAATTGAGATTTTTGGCTAATAAAGAGGTACTGCTGGTCTGGTTTTTGCCAGATGGTCAGCGGCTCGAATACTATTGGTCGCCACTGTGGCGCTAAATTAAAATTACAGTTTGTTTTTCTCTGACTAACTCTATAGACACTATGCTGGAAAATAATTTAGTATCCCACTATACCATCACCATTTAGCCTATAGAATAATGTCGAGCAGTTTTATACATAGTATACTACCTCATTATGCTATCATTTTGGGCTTTGGCCTGCTTTGATCTGTGTAGCTTGAGGTTTGACAATTCTTAATGCTAACTTGTAAAGACATTGATGTTTACTTCTACTTATAACTAAAATTGTTTTTGCTTCAAACTTAAAATGACGACCGACTTTTTGGTTGTCGGTTTTAAGCTGACAAAACTGAAAACAGATTAATTCTTCATGACGGCCAATATTTTCTCCATTGACATAAGCAAAACACAACAATTCTACCTTTTCCTGAAACTCTTACAGCATCACGATTTATTTGCAGTTGTAGTCTTCAGTAAAGTTTCATAAACATCTCTTTTATTACAAATGTACCTAATTGGTGCTAACCAACTACTCGTCTAGAGTTTTTAGAAATTGCATTATTACATCAACGTTTAATAGAAATTAACTAAAAACACACGGAAACATATATGAAGTTTGTCTCAATTTAAAGAAGTAATAGAATTACCTAATTGGCTGTTTCTCCGGTCGGTCGGAACTTTTAAACCTAATTCGATTCATAAATCTTCTCAGCGGATAAACGGACGTCGAGAGCTTCAACTTTACGCTGAAGTCTGAAAGTCAGTCGACCGAAAGTTTTTGGAACTATCACGCTAGACGAAGTTTTGTTTAACTAAACTTACAACGTAAATTTTATTAATAAAATTGTTCAGTCAATAGTGACGCTTCTTGGTACTAAGTTCCTTTTAAAAACCCAAGTGGACGTTCAACTTACTTTCTGCTAGTTTGTGTAACTTAAAGTTTACTTTTTGAAATGGGATTTAACAACTTTTCAATGCACTTCGCTTGGAGGGCACTTCGTAATTATTTTAGTAGAAGTGTCATCTCAAAGTTCAACTCAACAATAAACCTTACTTTCAACTAATATCGATTTGGTGCCAAAATATAATGGGTTTTGAACTACAACTCTTCAACCAATTAGAGCGCATCATTTAAGGGGTCAAATAAGTGATAATAGAATCAAATTCATCCTTTAAACTAAATAACTAAAAGGGACAGCATCAACGAAATCCGACTTAGAGGTCCTCTTCATATCGATTCCCTTGCTTAGCTTGCTATTCTATTATCTTGAAAGTAATTACGGAAATGTGTGGTGGAGCGCAACAAACCAAGCCAACCCTAATGGAATTAACGGATAATCCCGTTATTCCTGTTTAAATGTAATCAGGAGATGTTGCAGTCTCTTAAATATGATTACATTGACGGTTAAGCTTTGCTGGAGAAGTGCTATTGGTTAAATAACAACATAAGTCTTCGCAGCAAGGAATTTAATTTGCTAAACTTACCAATATGTAGATTTCAATCAAAACAAATAAACTTACCTGATAAACGATGCACAGTTCTACAAGCATAATTTTTGTACCCATCTCCAGGTCCGGCATTGCTAATGTACAAGTCGCCATTTCCCAAAACCACATATTTTCCTCCGATGTCAGTATTAGGGTAGATGTTGATACTCTCGTCCTGAATCCAGGACGTTACCATAACATAATCGGACACGTAAGTGGGGATTTTGCATTTTAATACCGCCGTATTGCCGGCTATGACGTACTCGTCGTGGACTTGGATGTCGTATTTTTGTTTGACGACTAGAAACAAAATTAGACTTTATAATTAAGCAAGTTTGCGAGGATACTTAGTTCAAGGCGAGGTTCAAGCAAAAGAATCAACTGAGCTTTAATGGATTAACAATGGTCAATATCTTATTCTCAACACATTTACAATTTGGAAACACAATTTTGATTCTATGGATATTCTATGAAAATCATTATTCGAATAGTCAGTTCCTACCAGCTCCCATACATAAAGTCCATGAAGATGAACCGGATACAAATATAACCGAGAGTACTTATGCATAATTAGACATTATTCGATATGAATAAGCTACAGAATAACATAACTAATATATTTACTTAGAGTTATTTAGATTTTGAACTTCAATTTTCTAGAAAAAAAGTTCTATGCACTTTCTACTAAAATAAGTAATTAGAAACAGCTCCATTTTAAAATTTCCAATTTTCTCATCATCGGATTCAGTGACCTCAATGTTAGAAATTTAATTCAGTTTCATTGAAAACTTCCTGAGTAAATAAATTGGGGATGTAAAGTAGGGGTTTTCACCATCCCTCTCCCTAGAGAAGCGTGATCCCACTCTGAAACTATTACTTGTTATATTGGTTTAGTACCTTGGGCAATTCCAACGCAAGCATCAATGGTGTTGGATTTTGGGTGGCGAGAGCCTATGTAATGACTATTCTCGGCTATAAGTGTGCCAGTGACAGGAGAATCACAATAAGAATCAATGCGACCCCTACATCGATCAATATTTTGCAGGTCTATGCACCTAATTCCAACACTGACGACGGCACTGTCGAATCATTTTATGACGGTCTTGAGTCGACACTTGAATCTCTATCAAATCGCGAAATGGTCCTTTGTCCTTCGAGATTTTTTAACGCTAAAGTTGGTCAAATTGTAGAAAATGAACATCTTAATGCATATATTGATTTAATCGGTCTTGGTGCTAGAAACGAAAGGGGTCAACGTCTGCTCCAATTTTGTATTGAAAACAGTTTCTCTATTGGCAACCCCTGGTTTGCACAACATCCACGACGTCTGTATACCGGGGTCTCACCAGGCGGACAATATGGCAATTAAATCGACTATATTTTATATTTTGGTTGGGGCAAGATGGAGGTCATCTATTAGTCTTTGCAAAACTCTAACCAGGTTCCGATTGTAGCTTAGACCATCAACTCCTTCTTTGTGAACCTCAGCTTAATCTGAAGGCATGTCCACGCTCTAGGCGGAATCTTTCAACAGAGGTAGTTGAACCTGCCTCTTTTCGGTCAAAATGTTCTCAGCTTTTTCAAAGTGCCTCTAGTCCTCCTAAAAATATGTGGTAAACATTTAAAAATGTTCTTATACAAGCTGCCCAAAAAGTCAGCACTCAACCTAAACAGCCGTGGATTACCACCCATACATTGGCCGTCATTGAGGCACGTAGAAACTTAAGATCTCAGGTCTGGATTCTGATTCAAATCACGATCGGTATAGACAATTACCACATGAAATCCAAAGACTTGGTCGTCAACATAAGAACTCCTCTCTTCAGGAATTATGCAGGGAGATACAGATCCACGCTAATACAGGCCATGCAGATGTTCCTAAAGATACAATGTCCCTGTCGGGACTTTAAACACCAAAACGTTGTCAAATAAAAACGCCGATGGATATCATTAATACATATTGTGAGAACCTTTATTTCGATGTTCACATTCAAGCCCCTTTGTTCAATTATTCACGTGAATTATGAACGTGAGCCAGGTGTTCTTTTTCCGGAAGTGGAACATGCCATTAGGAAACTAAAAGCCGGTGAAGCGACAGGAACTTTCTGCCAAAGCTCTGAAGTGCTTGGATGATGACGGTCTGGATTTTTTACATCGTATTTGTGAGAAGTTTGGTTCGCCGGTGTCTGGCCAGGGGAATGAAGCACTTTGATCTTTGTTTCACTTCATAAAAAAAAAGATCTTTGGTAATCCCAAAGAATTATCTTCTACTCTCATTGTTCTTCTATTCACGCATGCTGTATATTCTGCAGTCTCGTTTGGAGGGCTTTGTGGACTGGCAAATATGTCCAAAGCAGGCAGGTTTCGTAACGACATGGTACGCGAGAACAGATCTTGAAGTTGGGGCAGATTATTGAAAAAGCCAGAGAGCATTACTTTCCAGTCTATACTTGCTTTAAGGACTACTCTAAGGCATTTGACAACGAAAAGTGGCCTAAACTATGGGAAATTCTTCTCTCCATTGGAGTTCCTCACCTCACTACCTGATATTTTTCATAGTCTGTATCATCCGCGCCAAATACCTACCTACTCTATTATTTAGGTTAGATGGTAAATTGCGAGAGGTCGTATTTGATGGTAATTATTTCCTTGGGCAGCTACTGAAAAATAAAATTGTGGCAGCGGGTCTATTTGCAATTGAAAGAAACAACTGATTTATATGGTTATCCTTAGAGCAGGTAATTTCCTAGATGGGAGGAGTAGGAACATGGAGTTGGAAAATGGAGCCGTTTTTCCAGGTATTTTGAAATCTTAAATAATGGCTAATTCAATGCTTTACCTGTCATTTGGTGTACAAACACCTGCTAAAAACTGGCTTCACTTCTACCACAGCCTGACAACGTAAACGTCATCATTGGTTCAGGCACGACGTACACCAGTTCTCTGACGCTGTACGTCGCGCCTCGTTAAAAAAATCAGATCTCGATCACCAAAGTAGTATTTCGCGCACTAGATGCAAAAATAACTATTTTACAAAATTAAAAGTTAGGACTGATATCAATCTGCAGTCCAATGTGGTTTATAAAATTCCATGTTTGGAGTGCGAGAAGGTAGGTATATATTGGACAAACAGGGAGATACCTCAAAAATAGGATGTCAGAGCATAAAAGAGATTGCAGAAATTTTCATATATAGATAGAGAGTCAAAAACTGCCCTTTTTGAACATGCTAAAAGCGAGGGTCATTTCTTTGATTTTGGAAATGTACAGGTGATAGGAACACAAACCAATCTAAAAAAACGTCTATTGGACGAAATGATCGAGATTAAAATGCATTCAAATACAGTTAACAAAAGAACAGACATTAAAAAATTTTATACTTGTTATTACAATCTAATATCAAAAATATAATATTAGGTATTTTTTTCTGCCGTTCTCTTTCCCCTCGAGAACTCCAGGTCAAGAACGGTACGATTTACTTTAATAATAAAGTAGACGTTTCACAAATTTTTCGTTTATTTTACATAATCATAATTTCCCTTTTTCCCTAATATTTGGTAATGTCGGGCGCATTTCCAGTAAGTAAAATTGAGTAAGTTTCGACAACATAGGTCCTATTTGTTTTTCATTTCGTTTTTCAGAAGATTTGTTGTTTAAAAGGTAATAAAAAATTCACCGTTCAATCTTGCTGAACGAACCCGGGTATGTTACACTGGTACACTACAATAAAAAGTTTTGAATACAGGAATGTATTTCGTAAATTTCAAGAACTTCGTTAAATGCTCTTCTATTTTTCTGCATATTGCTGAGGTAATGTCTTTAGGCATGTTATATGGGTCTATAATTGAGCGGGTTCTGGGTTTCACTGTTTTTTTGGCAATATGTATGTTCTTCATTCAGTTAGAAATTGTAGCATTTTCAATTTCTCTTCAAGTATACTACTTTGTTTTGCTCTGGTGGATATGATTCCATATAGAACTATAAATAGATAAATAAATAAACGACTATCTTTTCTATGCGCAGATTCTATTACCTTGAGTACACCTTTCTACTAAAAGTTTTTTGGTTCAAGTTTGCAATTGTAGTTAATTGATCTAGGAAGGTTTGATTCAATAACGCAGGGCCCGCTGTTATTGATTAGAATATTATAAAAAGGAGAGAGTACCATCGGCTCTAGTTAGCAAATCCAATTAATAAATAATCTGAGGTTATGATGGTTGTTGTTTACTTTTTGATTTTTCAGTTCCATCATGCATCCGTCATTGAACAGCTGTCGCTGCCTAGGCGTTTTCTTTAAAACCTGTTCTACTTTTTTGATATAGGTTCTATAGGCAATTTTCAGCAGTCACCGGTTATCTGGTGAGTCTTTTATGTGCAACCCACTCTTCGGTTCGTATTTTTGGGATGGAACTTAACACGCCCTTTTCTTAATTTTCATCAATGTCAAAATTAGAAGTTTGACGTTGGAATCCCCCTTTCCAAATCTAAGAGGAAGAATCTGCCCTTTTGATTTTGAGACCTCATGCCGTGTGGTCGGTCTTGGCCTGATTGTTTTTAGGCAAGACTTTTTGGAATTTTGTGCCAGGGAAATTTGAGTTAGACTAACTTATTGTTGATCATTGTCTAGAATTGTCCCTTGGAAATTTCTGATTTTGTTTCGGTAAGTTTTGAGATTTTCTTCAGGAATTATTAACCTACAACACGTGTTTTGGAAGTTTAAAACTTCACTTTTTGCCTAGAGTATCCCTCAGTTAAAGGTAAGATTATTTCTAATGTTTGGGGCTCGATCTGTTTTTTTATACGAACATCGTTATAGGGTTCTAGGCTGTATCTAGACAGATCCTGGGCGGTATTTAGACTGGACCTAGGCTGGATCTAGATTGCTCTTAATTGGGACTAGTAGCTCCTCTTCAGCAACCTTTTGGTACCACTCTGATAGAACCACGTTGAGTTCTACGTTAAACAGGTAAAACGTGGTTAGGAATTCCATAGGACTCACTCACCATAGTCTGGAACAAACTTAAAACTGCTAACTGCTTCTGTCTGGATCTACAGTGAGACCAAACATGTAGATATCCCCACTTTAGGAACTTCTGAGTTTTCACATACATTTGAAGATAACACTTGTATACATGTAAGTTGCACTTCTTACTATTTAGACAAATCTTACAGAAATCACTTGATACTGAATTACGCTCAGTACGTGCCCCTTAAATAAAATTCTAGAATTTTACCCTTTATTTATATATTTATATATTATTTACATTCATTTTTTTTTAATTCAAATATTTATAAATTGGG